CGCCTGGAACTTTCAGGACCCCGCCTGAAAACTTCCAACCCTCCTGGAACTTTCAACCCTGCCTGAACTTCAACCCTGCCTGGAACTTTCAAACCCTGTCTGGAACTTTCAACCCTGCTGGAACTTTTCCAACCCTGCGCTGGAACCTCCAACCCCGCCTGGAACTTTCAAGCCCCACCCTGAACTTCCAACCAGGAATGGAACTTTCACAAACCCTATCTGAACTTCCAACCCTGCCTGAACTTCCACCCCGCCGGACATGTTCCAACCCTCACTCTCGGAACTTACAAACCCGTCTGGAACTTTCATCCCGCGCCTGGAAGTTCCAACCCTGCCTAAACTTGCAACCCCGTCTGGAACTTCCAACCCTGCCTGGAACTTTCATCCCCGCCTGGAAGTCCAACCCTCCTGGAACTTCATCCCCTCCTGAAGTTCCAACCCTGCCTGGAACATACAAAACCAACCCCGTCTGGAACTTCCAACCCAGCCTGGAACTTTCATCCCCCCTGGAAGTTCGCACCAACGCCTGTCCTAGAACTTGCAACCCCGTCCTGGAACATCCCAACCCTGCCATGGAACTTTCATCCCCCCGCCTGGAAGTTCCAACCCTGCCTGGAACGTTCCATCCCCCCGCCAGAAGTTTCCAACCCGTGCCTAGAACTATGCAACCTTCCGTCGAACTTCGCCCAACCCTGCCTGGAACTTTCATCCCCGCCTGGAAGTTCCAACCCTGCCTGGAACTTACAACCCCGTCTGGAACTTCCAACCCTGCCTGGAACTTTCATCCCCGCCTGGAAGTTCCAACCCTGCCTGGAACTTACAACCCACGTCTGGAACTTACAACTCCGTCTGGAACTTTCATACCCCGCCTGGAAGTTCCAACCCTGCCTGGAAGTTCCAACCCCGTCTGGAAGTTCCAACCCCGTCTGGAAGTTCCAACCCCGTCTGGAAGTTCCAACCCCGTCTGGAAGTTCCAACCCCATCTGGAAGTTCCAACCCCCCGTCTGGAAGTTTCCAACCCCGTCTTGAACTTCAACCCCGTCCTGGGAACTTACAACCCCCGTCTGGAACTTACAACCCCGTCTGGGAACTTACAACCCCGTACTCGAACTTACAACCCCGTCTCGAACTTACAACCCCGTCTGGAACTTAACAACCCCAACCTGGAACTTACTACCCCTGGAACTTACACCCCGTCTGGAACTTACAACCCCCAGTCACAGTACTTTACAACCCGTCTGGAAACTTTACAACCCCGCCTGGAACTTACCCAACCCCGTCTGGAACTTACAACCCCGTCTGGAACTTACAACCCCGTCTGGAACTTACAACCCCGCCTGGAACTTACAACCCCGCCTGGAACTTACAACCCCGTCTGGAACTTACAACCCCGCCTGGAACTTACAACCCCGTCTGGAACTTACAACCACACCGGACTTACAACCCGACCCGGCCTGAACTTACAAACCCCGTCCTGGAACTTACAACCCCGCCTGGACACTTACAACCCCGTCGAACTTACAACCCGTCTGGAACTTACAACAACCTCGTCTGGTAACTTACAACCCGCTGGAACTTAAACCCAGCCTGGAACTTACAACCCCGTCTGAACTTACAACTCACACGCCTTGAACTTACAACCCCCGTCTGGAACTTACAACCCCGCCTAGAAACTTTACACAACCCCGCCCTGGAACTTACAACCTCCTGTCTGGAACTTGCAACCCGACTGGAACTTACAACCCCCGTCAGGAACTTACAACCCCGTCTGGAAACTACCAACCAACCCCGTCTGGAACTTACAACCCCACCTGGAACTTACAACCCCGCCTGGAACTTACAACCCCGTCCTGGGGGAACTTACAACCCCTTCTGGAACTTACAAACCCGGTCAGGAACTTACAACCCGTGCCTGGAACATCAAACGCACCGTCCTAGGAACTTACAAGCCCGTCTGGAACATACAACCCCACCTTAACTTACAAACCCCGTCCTGGAACTTACAACCCAACCTGGAACTTACAACCCCACCTGGAACTTACAACCCCACCTGGAACTTACAACCCCGTCTGGAACTTGCAACCCCGTCTGGAACTTGCAACCCCACCTGGAACTTACAACCCCACCTGGAACTTACAACTCCGTCTGGAACTTACAACCCCGTCTGGAACTTACAACCCCGTCTTGAGGAACTTACAACCCCGTCTGGAACTTACAACCCCTCTGGGAACTTACAACCCCGTCGGAACTATACAACCCGGTCTGGGAACTTACAACCGCCGGCCTGGAACTTATACAACACCCGTCTGAACTTTACAACCCCGCCTGAGAACTACAACCCCGTCTGGAAACTTTACAACCCCGTCTGGAACATACAACCCCACCTGGAACTTACAAACCCCGTCTGGAACTTTACAACCCCACCTGAACTTACAACCCCACCTGGAACTTACAACCCCCGTCTGGAACTTACAACCCCGTCTGGAACTTACAAACCCCACCTGGAACTTACACCCTGTCTGGAACTTACAACCCCGTCCTGGAAACTTTACAACCCCGTCTGGAACTTACAACCCCGTCTGGAACTTACACCCCGTCCTGAACTTACACAACCCCGCCTGGAACTTACAACCCCGCCTGGGAACCTTACAACCCGCCTGGAACTTACAACCACCGCCTGGAACTTACAACCCCGTCTGGAACTTCCAACCTGTCTGAACTTACGACCCACGCCTGGAAGTTCCAACCCTGCCTAGGAACTTGCAACCCCGTCTGGAACATCCAACCCTGCCTGGAACTTTCATCCCCGCCTGGAAGTTCCAACCCTGCCGGGAACTTTCATATCCCGCCTGGAAACTTCCACCCTGCCAGGAAACTTTCATCCCCGCCTGGAATTCCAACCCTTGCCTGGAACTTACAACCCCCATCTGGAACCTTCCCAACCCTGCCTGGAACTTTCATCCCCGCCTGGAAGTTCCAACCCTGCCTGGAACTTACAACCACGTCTGGAACTTACAACTCCGTCTGGAACTTTCATCCCCGCCTGAAGTTCCAACCCTGCCTGGAAGTTCCAACCCCGTCTGGAGGGCGTTCCAACCCCGTCGTAAGTTTCCAAACCCCGTCTGAGTATCCAACCCCGTCGGAAGTTCCAACCCCGTCTGGAAGTTCCAACCCCGTCTGGAACTTACAACCCCGTCTGGAACTTACAACCCCGTCTGGAACTTACAACCCCGTCTGGAACTTACAACCCCGTCTGGAACTTACAACCCCGTCTGGAACTTACAACCCCGTCTGGAACTTACAACCCCGTCTGGAACTTACAACCCCGTCTGGAACTTACAACCCCGTCTGGAACTTACAACCCCGTCTGGCACTTACAACCCCGTCTGGAACTTACAACCCCGTCTGGAACTTAACAACCTCGTCCTGGAACTTACAACCTTGTCTGGAACTTACAACCCCGTCCAGGACTTACAACCCCGCCTGGAACTTACAAAACCCCGTCGGGAACTTACAACCGCCGTCCTGGAACTTACAACCCCGTCTGGATCTTATCAACCTCGTCTGGAACTTACAACCCCCGTCTGGAACTTACACCCCCCCCTGGAACTTACAACCCCCGCCTGGAACTTACAACACCCCGTCTGAACTTACAACCCCGTCTGGACTTACAACCCCCGTCTGGAACTTACACCCCCACCTGAACTTACAACCCCGCCTGGAACTTAACGCACCCCTTCTGGAACTCCAACCCCGCCTGGAACTTTAGCAACCCCGTCTGGAACGTTACAACCCCGTCTGAACTTACAACCTCGTCTGGAACTTACAACGCCCGTCTGGAACTTGATCAACCCCGTCTGGTACACTTACAACCTCCGTCTGGAACTTACATACCCCGTCTTGGAACTTACAACCCCGTCTGAACTTACAAGACCCCGCCCTGGAACTTACAACCCCGCTGGTATCTTACAACCCCGCTGAACTTACAACCCGGTCTGGAACTTACAACCCGCGCCTGGAACTTTAACAACCCCGTCTGGAACTTACACAACCCAGTCTGGAACTTACAACCCCCGTCTGGAACTTACAACCACCGTCTGGAACTTACAACCCCGTTCTGGAACTTACAACCCCGCCTGGAAATTACAACCCAGTCTGGAACCTTACAACCCCGTCTGGAACATACAACCCCGTCTGAACTTACAACCGCCGTCTGAACTTACAACCCCGCCTGGAATATTAACACCCCCCGTCTGGAACTTACTAAACCCCGTCTGAACTTACAACCCCGTCTGGAAACTTCACAAACAACCCTGCTGGAACTTACAAAACCCCTGCCTGGAACTTACAACCCCTGCCTGTGTCAACGTGTCGTCAGCTCCTCCATCACTGCTTATATTCCACACTTTATTCCTTCTTAAACATATAATACCATTTCTTGCTACGTATTTTTTTTTAAGTTTTTATATTCACCTTCTTACACAGTGTAATTCTTCTTGCCCTTCTACTTAATTTTTTACCGTCCTTGTGCTTTGTTTTTCCATCCCCCCGTTATTTTACTCTTAACATTTAAATGAGACATTTATGCAACACTTGGGAAAGTTTATTCTGGAATAATGATTACTAAATATTACACAAATGTCTCAGTTATCACCTCGTCGGCTTCTAAAGCAGTAACTTGCTTCACTGGTCTGTAGTCTCAGTTATCACCTCGTCGGCTTCTAAAGTAGTAACTTGCTTCACTTGTCTGTAGTCTCAGTTATCACCTCGTCGGCTTCTAAACGTAGGTAAGCTATGAGCTATCACTTGTCTGTAGTCTCAGTTATCACCTCGTCGGCTTCTAAAGCAGTAACTTGCTTCACTTGTCTGTAGTCTCAGTTATCACCTCGTCGGCTTCTAAAGCAGTAACTTGCTTCACTTGTCTGTAGTCTCAGTTATCACCTGTCGGCTTCTAAAGCAGTAACCATGCTTCACTTGTCTTTAGTCTAGTTATCACCTCGTCGGCTTCTAAAGCAGTAACTTGCTTCACTTGTCTGTAGTCTCAGTTATCACCTCGTCGGCTTCTAAAGCAGTAACTTGCTTCACTTGTCTGTAGTCTCAGTTATCACCTCGTCGGCTTCTAAAGCAGTAACTACTTGCTTCACTTGTGTCTGTAGTTCTCAAGTTATCACCTCGTCGGCTTCTAAAGTAGTAACTTGCTTCACTTGTCTGTAAACAATAGATTTGTTTTCCTTGTATTTCTTGTTACTACTGTATATTTATCTGTGGATTCCTGGTACATCCTAATCTGTGTCAGCTTCTGTATGGTCATGCTGTATGGTCATGCTGTATGGTCATGCAGTATGGTCATGCTGTATGGTCATGCAGTATGGTCATGCTGTATCGTCATGCTGTATGGTCCATGCTGTAGGTCCATGCTGTATGGTCATGCTGTATGGTCGATGACTATGTGTCATGCTGTATGGTCATGCAATATGGTCAAGCTGTATGTCATGCTGTATGGTCATGCTTATGGTCATGCTGTATGACCAGCTGTAAGTCGTCATGCAGTATGGTCCCTGCGGTAATGGTCATGCTGTATGGTCATGCTGTATGGTCATGCTGTATGACATTGCTTGTATGGCTCTGCTGTAGGTCATGCTGTATGGTAATGCTGTATGATCATGCAGTATGGTCATGCTGAATGTCATGCTGTATGGTCAAGCTGTATGGTCATTGCTGTATTGTCATGCTGTATGGTCATGCTGTATGGTCATGCTGTATGGTCATGCAGTATGGTCATGCTGTATGGTCATGCTGTATGGTCATGCTGTATGGTCATGCAGTATGGTCAGTGCTGTATGTTCATCTGTATGGTCATGCAGTATGGTCCATGCTGTAATGAACATGCTGTATCGTCATGCGTATGGTCATGCTTATGATCATGCCTGTATGGTCATGCTGTATGGTCAGCAGTATGGTCAGCTGTAAGATCATGCTGTATGGTCAGCTGTATGTCATGCAGTATGGTCATGCTGTTATGTCATGCAGTATGGTCATGCTGTATGGTAATGCTGTATAGTTCATTATGCAGTAATATGGTCATGCTGTATGGTCATGCATAGGAGTCATGCTGTATGGTCATCTTTATGGTATGGCTGATAGTCATTATGGCAGTATGGTCATGCTGTATTGTCATGTTATGCAGTAGGTCATGCTGTTATGGTAATGCTGTATAGTCCATGTATGCCAGTATGTTCATGCTGCATAGGTTCATGCAGTATGTGTCATGCTGTATGTCATGCTGTATGGTATACTGTATAGTCATGGTATGCAGTAATGGGTCCCATGCTGAGTAAGGTTAATGCTGTATAGTCATGTATGCAGTATGGTCATGCTGTATGGTAATCTGTATAGTCCATGTATGCAGTATGGTCCAGGCTGTATAGGATCATGTATGGCAGTTGGTAATGCTGTATGGTCATGCTGTAATGGAAATGCTGTATGGTCCATGTATGCAGTATGGTCATGGCTGTATAGTCATGTATGCCGTATGGCAAGCTGTATGGTCATGCAGTTATGGTAATGCTGTATGTCATGCTGTATGGTAATGCTGTATGGTCCAATGTTATGCATATGGTAATGCTGTATGGTCATGTATGCAGTATGGTCATGTGTATGGTAATGCTGGTATAGAGTCATGTATGCAGTAATGTTCATCTGGTATGGTAATGCTGATAGTCATGTATGCATTATGGTCATGTAATGCAGTATGGGTCATGCTGTATGGTCATCAGTATGATGGTCATGCGTATTGTAATGCTGCATATGGTCATTATGCAGTATGGTCATGCTGATGGTCATGCTGTATAGTAATGCTGTATAGTCATTGTATGCAGTATTGTCAATGCTGTATGGTCCATGCAGTACTGGTCATGCTGTATGGTAATGCTGTATAGTCCCATTATGCAGTATGGTCAGCAGTATGGTCTGCTGTATGGTCCATGCAGTATGGTCATGCGGTAAATGGTCATGCTGTATGGTCATGCTGTAGTCATGCTGTATGTCATAGCTGTATGGTCGTGCTGTATGGTCGTGCTGTATGTCATGACGTACGGTCCATGGCAGTACGATCATGCTGTAGGTCATGCTGTATGGTCATGCTGTATGGTCATGCTGTATGGTCATGCTGTATGGTCATGCAGTATGGTCATGCTGTATGGTCATGCTGTATGGTCATGCAGTATGGTCATGCAGTATGGTCATGCAGTAATTGTCATGCAGTGATGGCGTCATGCAGTATGGTCATGCAGTATGTCATGCTGTAGGGTCATGCTGTATGGTCATGCTGTATGTCATGCAGTAATGGTCATGCTGTATGGTCATGCAAGTATGGTCATGGCTGTATGGTCATGCGTATGGTCATGCTGTATGTCATGCTGTATGGTCATCGTATGATCATGCTGTATGTCATGCTGTATGATCATGCTGTAGGTCAGTGCTGAAAGGTCATGCTGGTATGATCATGCATATGGTCATGCTGAAAGATCATTCTTATGGGTCTGCTTGGTAAGATCCTGCTGTATGGTCATCTGTATATGGTCCATCTGTATGATCATGCAGTATGGTCATGCAGTATGGTCATGCTGTATGGTCATGCTGTATGGTCCATGCTGTATGGGTCCAATGCTGTATGGTCATGCTGTATGGCATGCTGTAGTCATGCCATTAGGTCATGCCAGTAGTCATCAGTAGTCAGCTGTATGGTCATGCAGTATGGACATGCTGTATGGTCATGCAGATGATCATGCGTAGGTCACATGCAGATAAGGTCATGGCAGTATGGTCATGCAGTATGGTCATGCTGTATGGTCATGCTGTATGGTCATGCAGTATGGTCATGCTGTATGGTCATGCTGTATGGTCATGCTGTATGGTCATGCTGTATGGTAATACTGTAAATTCATGTATGGATATGTCATGCTGTATGGTAATGCTGTATAGTCATGTATGCAGTATGGTCATGCTGTATGGTAATGCTGTATAGTCATGTATGCAGTATGGTCATGCTGTATAGTCATGTATGCAGTATGGTAATGTTGTATGGTCATGCTGTATGGTAATGCTGTATGGTCATGTTGCAGTATGGTCATGCTTGTATAGTCATGTATGCAGTATGGTCCTGCTGTATGGCATTGCATATGGTAATGCTGTATGGCATGCTGTATGGTCAATGCTGAATGGTCATGTATGCAGTATGGTCATGCTGTATGGTCGATGTATGTCATTATGGTCATGCTGTATGGTCCATGCAGATGTCATGCGCTGTTTGGTAATGCCTGTATAGTCATGTATGCAGTATGGTGCATGCAGTATGGTCATTGTCAAGTATGGTCATGCGGTATGTCATGCTGTATGGTCATGCAGTAATGTGTCATGGTGTATGGTCATGCTGTATGGTCATGCTAATGTATTGTCTTGCTGTAGGTTCCAAGCTGTATGGTCAGCAGTACGGTCATGCTGTATGGTCCTGCTGTATGGTCATGCTGTATGGTCATGCAGTATTGGTCATGCGTATGGTCATGCTGTATGGTCCATGCTGTATGGTTATGCTGTATGGACATGCAGTATGGTCATGCTGTATGGTCATGCTGTTAAAAAAAATGGTCATGCGTATGGTCATCCTGTATAGATCATGCTGTATGGTCATGCTGTATGGTCCATGCTGTATGGGTCATGCAGTACGGTCTGCTGTATGGTCATGCTGTATGGTCATGCTGTATGGTCATGGCAGTAGGTCATGCTGTATGGTCATGCTGTATGGTCCCATGCTGTAGGTTTAAGCTGTATTGTGCATGCAGTATGGGTCATGCTGATGGTCATCTGTATGTCATGCTGTTGATGTCATCTGTATGAACATGCTGTATGGTCACTGTATGGTCCTGCTGTATGGTCATGGCAGTATGTCATGGCTGTATTTCATTCCTGTATGATCATGCTGTATGGTCATGCTGTATGGTCATGCTGAATGGTCATGCAGTATGGTCAGTGGCTGTATGGTCATGCAGTATGGTCATGCTGTTAAGATCATTGCAGTATGGTCATGCTGTATGGGCATGCTGTATGGTCATGCGATGGTCATGCAAGTATGTCATGCTGTAGGTCCTGCTGTATGGTCATGCTGTATGGTCATGCGTAAAGGTCATGCAGTATGGTCCATGCTGTATGGTCATGCTTGTTTGGTCATGCTGTATGGTCATTCCCCCTGTATGGTCATGCCGTGTGGTCATGCAGTTGGTCATGCTGATATGATCATGCTGTATGGTCATCCTGTAATGATCATGCTTATGGTCATGCTGTAGTGATCATGCTGTATGGTCAGCTGTATGATCATGCTGTATGGTCATGCTGTATGATCAAGCTCAATGGTCATGCCTGTATGATCATCTGTATGGTCATGCTGTATGATCATGCTGTATGTCAGCTGTATGGTCATGCAGTATGGTCATGGCTGTAACTGGTCATGCGGTATGGTCTTGGCAGTATGTCATGCTGTATGGTCATGCCAGTATGGTCATGCTGTATGGTCATGCTGTATGTCATGCAGTATGTCATGCAGTATGGTCATGCTGTGTGGTCATGCTGTGGGGTCATGCTGTGTGGTCATGGCTTGTGGTCATGCTGTGTGGTCATACTGGATGGGCAGCTGTGTGGTCATGCTGTATGGTCATGCAGTATGGTCATGCAGTATGGTCATGCTGTATGGTATGCTGTATGGGCATGCTGTATGGTACATGCTGAAATGGTCATGCAGTAATGGTCTTGCAAGTATGTCATGCTGTATGTCAAGCTGTATGTCATGCTGTATGTCATGCTGTATGGTCATGCAAGTATGGTCATGCAAGTAATGGTCATGCTGTATGATCATGCTGTATGGTCCATTGCAGTATGGTACATGCTAGGTATGGTTCATAGCTGTAGTGGTCAATGCTGTAATGGTCATGCTGTTTGGTCATGCTGTATGGGTCATGCAGTATGGTCAAGTCAGTATGGGTCAATGCTGTATGGTCATGCTGTATGGTCATGCTGTATGGTCATGCAGTATGGTCATGCTGATGGTCATGCAGTA